AAAAATATCAAAGTATATATCATAGTCAATTTTTCTAGAATCAAAGATAAGAAGAAAAATTTGAAAGAAGCTAGGGAGGATAAAAGAATAACCTATAAGGGAAAGCAAATAAGATTAAATGCCGATTTCTCAGTAGAGACCATACGAGCAAGAAATCAGTGGAATGATATGTCACTTAAAGAATACGACTGTCAACCAAAAATACCATAACCAGGAAAACTGTCCCTCAAATATGATGACAATATCAAGATATTCTCAAAAAAGCAGAACTTAAGGGAGTTTATAAAAAACATAATCAGCATTGAAGGAAATACTGAGGGAGGTCCTTCTTACAGAGATACCACAGAAAGCAGAATGGACAAAAATAATCAGCAACAATACCAAAAAGAACTCAACAAAATGATAGCAATAAAACCTTGCCTCTCAATAATTACACTGAAAGTGAATAATTTAAATGCACTAGTAAAGAGAAAAATAATAGTAGATTGAATATAAAAACAAAACTCATCAATATGCTGTTTATAAGTGACATACTTGAAAATTAAAGATAGAGGAAGATTAAAAATAAAAAAGGGTGCAAAAAATATAGTAAGGAAATGGCAAACAGAAATTTAAAAAAAAACCAAACATATGTAGCGATATTAATCTCTATTAAAACAGATTTCATCATCTACAACCAGGAGAGGATAAAATAGATGAATGGGACCTTCTGAGACTTAAATCCTTATGCACATCCAAAAACTTCTCCAAAAGGGTAAAAAGGGAAGCCACAGATTGGGGGGGGGGGATTGGTTAATGACATGTCTGACAAAGAACTGATATCTAGTATTTATAAAATATTTGAGCACCACAATAAGATAAAGGTAAATAATCCAATTGAAAAATGGACCCAGGATATGAACAGACAATTCAAAAAGGAAGACATTCAGATGGCACACAAACACATGAAGAAATGTTCAAAGTCACTATCTCTAAGAGAGATGCAAATCAAAACAATTATGTAAGAATAGCAAAAAATTTAAAAGAACAGCAAACATCAAATGCTGGTGAGGTTGTGGAGAAACTGTAACCCTTATTCACTGTTGGTGGGAATGTAAAATGGTGCAACCACTATGAAATGCTGTATAGCACTTTCTCAAACAGTTGCAAACAGAAATATCATTTGACCCAGCAACTCCACTACTGGGAATTTCCTAAAGAAACCATAACCACCACCCAAGCATATATGTACACACCCATGTTTTTTGTAGCTTTGTTCACAATAGCAAAGAGTTGGAAACAACCCAAGTACCCATCAACAAATGAACGGACAGAGAAGCTCTGGAATATTCACACAATGGAATACTATGTAGCACTGAAAAACAAGGAACTCATGAAGTATTATGCAAAATGGATGATCTTGGAGGGCATTATGCTTAGCCACAAAAGGACAAATATTGCATAGGACCTCTGTTGTAAAATTGGACTGACATCTGGATTGAGGGAAGACAGAAAACAAGGGGAGGAATTATGTGTATTGCATTGAAAGAGATGAGGGAGAGATCTGTTTAAAAGGTATATATGTAAATGGGTATATTTGTCATTACAGAAGTACAGAATGAAAGCTGCATAGTGGAGTGAACTTGGGGAGAGGGATTGCATAACAATGAAAGAGTTTTTCCTTTCAAGGAGAAGTGTGATGGGGGGAGGGCTGGGCAGGGACAAAAGTGAAACAATGAATGACTGGAAATCCCAAGTCTCTGTAAATGTCCATTAAAATTAATAAATAAAAAATGGACAATCCAATAAAAAATATATTCCATTGTAAAAACCATCACAAAGGACAAATAAGGCAATATATAATGCTTAAGGGGTCAATAGAACAAGGGAACATAACCATAATAACTATCTATGCACCAAATGATAGAACTGCAACATATAAAAAGCAAATGTTAAGAGAATAAAAAAGAAAAATAGACACCATCACAATAACAGTAGGAGACTTCATTATACTACTCTCAAGAAAAGATAGAACTACCAGAAAGGAACTCAACAAAGATGGTCAAGAATTAAACCTCACATATAGACTAATGCACCCCAAAAAAGCACAGTATAACTTCTTCTCCAAAGTGCATGGAACATTCTCTAGAATAGATCACATTCTAGGTCACAAGGCAAGCATCAGTAGATTA